TCTCTCTCTCTCTCTCTCTACTACATGGGTTTGGTATAATTATTCTTAGACATACCATACTTTATCTCGGCTATCTTCTGGAAGTTTCCGTCTATCGTTTCTGAGACAGTGGCAAGCAGACTGTAAGCAAGATAAAAAGATTTAAACAAAAGTTTTACAAACATTTGTATTGCAACTTTTAGCAGAGACATAATATTTTCATTCTGCAAACTTGATGGGATTGCGAATATTGTATTTTATTTTCTCCGAGTATCATAAACCCAATTTTTAGAATCGGAGTGACAGTGGCAATAATCTATAACCAATGAATTAAATATGGGATGAAAACGAGTGGGGGGGAAAAAAAGGTTAGACGAAATTATTTTTTTTTAAATTCTGGGACGAAAACAGGTCCCGCAATCCCCCAACCTCAGCATGCAGCTACTCCTGTGATGAAATTAATAGTATTATAGTTGCTATAATATTGTTCCCCTTTATGGTGTTTTGTCTTCTTCGCTTCTTCGTACTGATCTGCTGTTATTTTTGCTTCTGTTTTTATGATGACGTTCTCTCTAACTTCCTCTTTCATTTTGTTGTATCATCTTTTTCTTCTTGTTCCTTTCATATTTTGTTCTTGTCCTTGTTCTTTTTGTAGTTTTTACATTTCTTCTTGTTTTTCTTTCTTGTTTTAGGGAATGGGAGGGGTGTTCGTTTTGCTCCTTCCAGTTCAATTTCTTAACATTTTTGTTCTTTTAATTTTTCTGGGTTTATTTTGTGTTGTCGTTCTTGTTGCAATGGTTTATACTGTTGTTGCTGTTGTTGTGTTGCTGTTGTTGTTGCTGTTGTTGTTTTTGTTGTTTTTGTTGTTGTCGTTGCTGTTGTTGTTTCTTGTTGTTGTTGTTGTTGTTGTTGTTGTTGTTGTTGTTGTTGTTGTTGTTGTTGTTGTTGTTGCTGTTGCTGCTGCTGCTGCTGTGGTTTGTTCCCAAAAATATTCGTGTCTTTCTTTCCGTTATGTGATAGTTATAAGTATACATATACAAACACAAAAACAAACAAACACACACACGTAACGCGCACATGCGCGCGCACACGCTGTGGGGTTCCTCACAAATCTGATCCCTAGTTTTGTCTGTGTGTGTGTTTTTTACTTTAACTTAAAGCCACTCTCAGTTGATGCAGAATCCTTGTGGATAAATTGTAATGTTGATCAAAAAGACAGCGTTCACTCTTTGTGAAAAGAGCACATTGAACTTTTCAAGTTTCTAGCCCCGACCCATTAATGTAGGCGTGGCTAGTTGAATGTGTCGACGCACCTCAGGCATCAGTTTCGTATTGTGTTTCTGTTTCCCACAGCAAAGGAACAGAGTTGATGATTGAACCGCCGGCCTCCCAGATGTTGAAGGTTGTGGCGGACATAGCGAAAAAGGAGCAACTCAACAACATAGCCATTATTTACGATGAAACATTTGGTATGTTTGGCTTTTCTCTCTCTCTCTCTCTCTCTCTCTCTCT